GTAGTAGTAGTAATAGTATTAGTAGTAGTAGTAGTAGTAGTAGTAGTAGTAGTAGTAGTAGTAGTAGTAGTACTAGTAATAGTAGCAGCCGCAGTAGTAGTGTAGTAGTCGTAGTAGTAGTAGTAGTAGTAGTAGTAGTAGTAGTAGTAGTAGTAGTAGTAGTAGTAGTAGTAGTAGTAGTAGTAGTAGTAGTAGTAGTAGTAGTAGTTGTAGTAGTAGTAGTAGTAGTAGTAGTAGTAGTAGTAGTAGTAGTAGTAGTAGTAGTAGTAGTAGTAGTAGTAGTCGTAGTAGTAGTAGTAGTAGTAGTAGTAGTAGTAGTAGTAGTAGTAGTAGTAGTAGTAGTAGTAGTAGTAGTAGTAGTAGTAGTAGTAGTAGTAGTAGTAGTAGTAGTAGTAGTAGTAGTAGTAGTAGTAGTAGTAGTAGTAGTAGTAGTAGTAGTAGTAGTAGTAGTAGTAGTAGTAGTAGTAGTAGTAGTAGTAGTAGTAGTAGTAGTAGTAGTAGTAGTAGTAGTAGTAGTAGTAGTAGTAGTAGTAGTAGTAGTAGTAGTAGTAGTAGTAGTAGAGGAGCAGTGAGCAGAATGGGACCGCAAATGTGGGACACCCGAAATCGGGGCCACGAGATTGCCCGGTCGTCCGACGGATTGTTGTTGTAAGATCTCGTGCCAGATATGGTTCTGACGTCGATTAAGAACGCCAGGATTGAAAAGGCCAATCGGCTGGAGGCATTCAGACGCATGGAGAGGCCCAGAAATCATACACCACGGACGCTCGAATTCCTTGATATTCTCAAACCTCGATTCTTCAACCCCCTCTTCGACGACTTCTCCTGCTCCCGCTCCTCCTCCTCCTCCTCCTCCTCCTCCTCCTCCTCCTCCTCCTCCCTCTCCTCATGTTCTTCCTCGACCTGGCGAAGCTGGAGCTGGAGTCGGCCAGCGTGCGGCACTACGTGGGTCGCGGCCGCGGCATTCGCTTGGTTCAGCGCCCGCTCATGGAGCTGCACGCCGCGCGCCAGCGCCGCCTCGTCACGTCCGATACGGACGCGTGGTGGGGGGTGCTCCGCTGCTGGCGCGGACTGCGGCGCTGGGGCCAGGCGGCCCCTGGATCCAGGGCCCGCCGTCCGAAGCTGCGAGACCGGTTCGTTGGGCAGGCGGCAGCGCTGCGGCTGCCGCCGGCCATGTCCGAGGCCCCCGCCCTCGTCCGCGGCTCGCTGCAGGACTGGATCGGCCTAGCGATTCGCGCGAGCCCACTTTGCAACTGGTTCGAGGGGCTGCTTGTGGAGGAGGTGGCCCAGCGACGACGGAGCGACGCTGCTCAGCGTTCGAAGGACTGGAGGTACTTCTTCTCGTCGGCGCTCGAGGGCTCGGGGCGAGTGGCCCACCGCCTCATCAAGGAGAAGCGCGGGGAAGCCCAGGCGGTGGCCCGCCCGGGCGACGAGCGAGGCCTCGCCCAGGTCGGCTCGGCGGCAGCCGAGGCTATCCTCGAGGAGTGGCTCGAGATTTGGGACAAGACGTCCTGCGCCGACGAGCAGGCTGCAGCGAGCTGGGAGGTGGAGGTGACCCTGCCCCCCATCACGGTCAGCCAGGTCCTGAACGTGGCCAGGCAGTTCCCCTTGGAGACAGGACTGGGCTGGGACAACTTCCACCCGCGATGCCTGCTGCTGCTGAACGTCGCGCTGGTCCAGCGGTTTGTCGACATTCTCAACCGTTGGAAGTCGACGCCGTGCATGCCCGACCTGTGGCTGACGATGATGGTGTTTCTCCCCAAGCCGCCGCCCCAGCTTGGGCGTCGGCCCATCGGCCTCCTCTGCATGTGGGGGCGCGTGTGGTCGCGCGTGCGGCAGCAAGAGGTCAGGCGCTGGGAGCAGTCGGTGGACGCCTCCTTTTTCTGGGGTAAGTCGGGCGACACGGCAGCGGACCGCGCAGCTTACGTGCACAACCTGCTCACGGTGCACGCGCGCAGGTGCGGGATGGTCAGTGGCTCTGTGTTTTTTTGATTTGTCTTGTTTATACGAGAACATCTCGCATGCAGCGCTGCAGCAGAGTGCGAGGCATGCCTCCTCCGCTCCCTCTGCACCCTTTACTGGGGCCCTCGGCGAGTCAGGTGGATGTCAGCCACGTCGCGATGCATCCTGCCAAACGGAACTGTCGTGGCTGGATGTTCCTGCGCCACGGGGGTCGTCAAATTGCTGACGTTGTGCGTCTTCCGTGGGGTGGCGATTAAAACCCCCGTTTGTCGCCCAGTCAATCTAGTGGACGATACCAAGCTGCATGCAGTAGGGGGTGTGAATGTTGTCAGTAAGCAGCTGGTTCGTGCCGTCCTTCTTGATTTGGAAACCATGCAGCAGCTTGAGCTGCCTTTGAACGTTTCCAAAACATGTTTCGTGGTGTCGGACAATGAGCTCCTTGAGCGTTTGTTGGAGGACCCCGGGTGGCCGTTTGATGTAAGCTTGTTGTCCGACACCCACCGCAACCTAGGAGGCGACGCGGTTGACGGCTCGCGCCGGCGCATTCCGATCCAGCGGGGCCTGCAAGCAGCTGCCATCTCTGCGGCCGCTCGCCTTCGGGCCGTGGGCAGAGGCCAGGAGGCCTTTAGGGTCTTTCGCGCCGGTCCCTCCGCCAAGGCGTCTTGGGGCTCTGCGATCCAAGGGATCTCGAACACTGCCCTCCGAGCTCTCCGCGTAGCGGCCGCTCGCAGTACAGGCCCGTTGCAGCCAGGTTCGTCTTTGGGGTTCTCTCTCTTTTTCAGTTCGGCGTGGGGTCGCGAACCCCTCGTGCACGTGACAGTTGCCAGTGAGAAATGTTTCGCGTCGGTATGGTGGCACAAGTCTGTCTCAAGAGCTGTTTTGGCTTCCGATTTTGATGATGCACGCGAGGTTTTGAAAAAGAAGCGGCCTTGGTCTGCAGTGAAGCAACCCGTGGCTGCCTTGCTGCTCACATTGCGCCGAATCGGCTGGGATTTGGCTTTCGAGCAAAACAATTTCAAGGACCGCTCTGGCAAGCATTGGTCCTTGGACCGGTTTTCCCCAGAGTTTTTGGCGGCGCTCTGTAGGCGGGAGTGGTGGGATGCGATTGTGGCCGATGAGCAGAGTTGTCAGTCGTTCGCCGAGGAATGGTCTGGCCCGATCTGCGCCCGCCCTGCTCAGGCCCTGCTGGCCTGCAAGACCTCGGACGGGTGGACCAGCCACCACCGTAATATTTTGAGGGGTCTCCTTGCCAATCGATATTGGTGCCAAGCTAGATTTTGCGAGAAGTGCGAAGATATCAGGCCCGAATGCCTCCACTGTGGGGAACGCGGCACCCTCTTCCACCGACGGTTTTCCTGCCCCAGCTTGGCGGCCTGGCGGCGCGAAGAGATAACGCCAGAGATTATCGCGGCATCTCGTTTTGTGTCTCGCCTTCCAAGTAGAGCCCAGGAGCTCTTTGCTCGGGGGCTTTTTCCTGACCCTTCCTCGTGGTTCCCCCGCAGGGCCCCTGACCCATCCTCCTGCTACCTCCATCGCTTGCATTGGCCCCAAGATGGGTTGTTTTTGGGCGAGGGCTGGCACGTCTTTCCAGATGGGTCGGCCTACGAGGTCCACATCCCGCGTCTTGGGGTGGCGGGATGGGCGGTGGTGAAGACGGATCGGGACGGGGTGGTGAAGCACGCTCTCTGGGGGGTTGTCCCTCCAGGCAGCCCGTGATGGAGAGGATTATGCGATCCTCCAGCTGGTGCTGAATGCAGTTTTGAGTCCGGGCGTCCAGCTCCATATAGATCGTGCTGGCACGGTGGACTGCGCTAGGGACCCTCGAACGGCGGCGGGGCCCCAGAACCCGAGGGCCCATTGGTGGGCCCAAGTCCACGACAAGCTGGACGACACGGCCATCCATAAGATTCCGTCTCACTGCTCTGAGCATGATGTCATTGACGGCCTCCTCACTCGCTGCCACTGGCTCGGCAACCAGGCGGCCGACCGTTATGCTCGGGAGGGGGGTCAGTTGTTTCGCAGCTTAGAAGAAGGCCGCCTTGTCATCCTAGGCTGCCATGAAATTGCGCGCCAGGTTTCGAAGTTTTCGGCAAGGCAAGAAGTGCATATAGCCGACGCCGCCTCGTTCGACCACGTCCCTTGGACTGGCTTAGGTCCGTTACTCTAGAATGCCCGCCCCTCGAAGAGGATGATGATGAGGGGGTGGGTGGGTCTGCTGTGGAGGCGGGAGTGTCGTCCGTCGTCGGGAAGGAGTGCACGGGCTCGGCGGCGGCCGCCGCGAGAGCAGCCAGCGGGCCTCCGCCGGAGCCCAGCGAGGAGGTTTGGGCGAACCTCGGGCCTTGGAGAGCCCGAGGCCACGTGTGCCTTGAGGCCCCAGTTTCGTCCCTCACGGGAGCCCCTGTGGGGACTTTGGTTTTTTGCACGACTTGCGGGTCGGTCGGCCGCCCTGGGAGTTCCTGGGGTCGCAGTGCTCTCGCGTCGGATTGTCTGGGCAGTCGGTCTTCCGGCCGGGAGCGCCAATTGGATTGGATTTTGCGTGGGAAGCACCTTCCCCGTCGAGACGGGCGCGTAGGGTCAGCCAGCGCCCTATCTGATGCTTCTAGAGACTTCATGGCCTCCAAGCTTGGCCTTGATGAGGTCCCCCCTCTGGGCCCTGCCCCGTGCTCGGTGTCAGGAGTCGACCTCGTTCCAGGGCTCGCGCTGTTTGGTTTCTCCTCTCGCGCTTCAGCCGAAGAGCTGGAGCGGCGGGTCCTTGATAGGAGGAAATGCGTGCCTGATGAATTGGAGGACGAGTTTTAACTTGTTCAGTTTTGCTTGTGCATGCGAATTGGGTGGCCCCCCTTTCAGCTGGTGCTGCACTCCTCCTCCTCCTCCCCTCCTCCTCCCCTCCTTCTTCTGCCTCCTTCTCGCTCCTCCTCCACCATTTCTTCTCCTTCTTCTTCTTCTTCTGTTCCTCCTTGTCCAACTTTCCCCTTTCCCTTTTCCTCTTCTCCTTATCCTCCTCCTCCTCCTGCTCCCCCTGTTCCTCTTCTTCCCCGAAGATTATTTTCTGGAAGGGCGGGCGTCGGCTGCCCCCAGCCGCGCCGCTCTCTGGGAGCGGCCCGCCCCCGGCAGCCGCCGCGGACCATGCCGCGCTGCCGCCACGCGCCGCCCCGGAGGAGCTTCGGGGGGAGGCTTCGGCTTCGGAGCCTCCTTCTCCTCCGCCCATCTCCTCCTCCTCCACCTCCTCCTCCTTCTCCTCCTCCTCCTCCTCCTCCTTGTCCTCCTTCTCCTCCTCCTTCTCCTCCTCCTTCCCCTCTTCCTCATCCTCCTTTCCTTCCTCCTCCTCCTCTACTCCCCTCCTCTTCTCTCCTCCTCTCCTCCTCCTCCTCTCCTCTTCCATCTCCTCCCCCGTCCACCTCCTCCTCCTCCTCCTCTCTTCTCCTCCTCCTCCTCCTCCTTCTCTCCTCCTTCTCTCCCCGTCCACACCTTCTTCTCGGGATCGGCCGGAAGCCGAGTGTAACATACAGCTGCAGGAAAATGGGCGGACGGGTGGGTTCAGCTTTCTTCGCTCGTGGCCATTTGGCTTCAGGACTCGAGCGATCACAGGTGTCGAATCAATTGGGGCCTGTGGGGTCGCGATCTCTTGGGATTGACCCACCGATCGGATGGCTGAAGGTGTCGGCGTGGACGGGGGGGCGGCCGCAGGGGACAGCGACCTCCTACTCCCGCCTGCCGCTCTTGGCGTCAACCCCAGTTGATCACAGCTAACGGCGTCCAGGGCGGGAAGTTGCTCTACTCCACGGCCGTCAAGACCTTGGGCCTCAACGTCCCGAGGCACTACGCGCTCCTCGAGGTCTTGGAAGGAGAGTGGGAGACTACATCTCTTACGGATGTGTTCCAAGTTTCGGAGGAGGATCTAACCACAGCACTCGGTGATGTGACCGTCCATGGCGTACAGCTGGGGGCCATACAAAAGGGCTCCCTGAGGGCTGATCTCCGGAAGTTGGCAAAGCTGGCTGGCTTCGTGCCTCCTCAGCTTGGCGGTCTCCAACGGCAGGAGGTGGCCGATCCACAACGGCCATCTGGCCAGCAGGCAGCCGCACCGGAACCTGCCCCGACCATGCACTCGTTCTCGGACGTCTTGGAGCAGGGAAGCAAGGGGCAGTTCAAGGAGCTGCCGGCCGAGGTCGTCAGGAAACTGCTGGATGCCTTCGAGGACGAGACCAGTGGACCTCCTCGTGACTACGAGGCGCCATCGCTTTTACAGCTGTCCGCCCTCGCGGCTAAGATTGCCTCGGATTCGGCGCCAGTCGTGGACATGGCTGTCTTCGGCCCGTTCGGGCGCCGGCTGCAAAAACTCTTGCACTTCAGCGCGGAGGTCTGCATCGGTGGCCTCTGGATGCGGCGTAAAGTTTTGGGCCCTAGCGACTTCGAGAGAGACATGGCGGAAGGGGTGGCGCGTCTATACGACAGCCGCCTTGATCTTGCGATTCTCAAAAGCAGCTCCATTCGACGACTTCGAGGAAGGAGTGCGCCAGCTCAACGTCACCTTCCCGAATCATTGGGGCCTTATCTACGTAACGGTAGGCCACATGATCGAAGAACGTTGTGAGCAGGTCCGAGCGCGGATCGAGCGCCAGGTGCGCAAGAAAACCTTCCATGGCGAATTCGTCCCTTCGCGGCCTTGGGAGACCGTGCTGAGCTGCTTCGCCTACGGCTCGGGCTCGGAGGGCGACTGGTGGGAAAGACACCTGGAGATGCCCTGCCTCACCTCGCCTGGCAGCTCGGCGGGGGCAGCAGCGAAGGCGTCCGCCCTCGAAGGCGCCACAACCGCAGTGGAGGTCGCGGAGCAGGAGGCGACCAGCAAACGCCACCACACCTCAGGCCTGGCCGTCGCCCCTGGCGCGCCTGGCCGCGGCAGTGGCTCCCCGCAGCCTGGTTCTGGCAAGCGGCGCGAGATTTCTGATGGCGACCGCCAGAAGCAAATAGAGGCGACCGGCAGACGGCCCGACGGTCGCTACCTCAAGCAGGGAGGAGTGAAGTTGTGCTATGCATGGAATCGGAGTTCGTCAGGGTGTGCCTCCCCCTGCCGCGCCACGCCTGTGCGGAAGCACGTGTGCGAATGGTGCTTGGGCTCGCATCGGACAGTGGATGACATTTACCCCGCGTCCAACCGGCCGCAGGGTTAGCGCCCAGCCACGCCGTCTGCCAGAGGTCGCGGCGCGGGCTCTCGCGGCAAGGGCGGGCGAGGTTGACGCGAGGCCCCCTCGCTGTCGACCGGGCGCCGCACGGCGCCTGCTACGAGTGCTTCTACGAGCACGGCCACTACGCGGACTACACCTACCACGTCTCCTCCTACGCCTCCCTCCCTGACTCCTCCTCCGAGTATTTCTACGAGTACGGCTACTACATGGGCCGCGTCTCCTCCTATGCCTCCCTCCTTGACACCTTCGCCCATTGCTGTCTCATCGGGGCCGGCTGCCTGGGGGGGAGGGAAAAGGAGGCAGGAGAGGGCGTTGTGGCTCTCGCCGACGCAGGCGCCGGCGACGGAGCTCTATCCTGTCCGCACCCCGCTCGTCTTGTCTTGGCTTGCCAACTGCACCAACGTCCCTCTCCGCGTGAGAGCGTCCGGGGTAGGAAGGTCAGGAGGCGACGGGCTGACAGCAGAGCGCCAGCGCGCAACGCGCGCCTGGTGGCAGCGCGGCACCACGCAGTAGCCCACCGCGCAGCCTTACAAGACCTACGCGGGCGCCTCTCGTTACTCTGCCGTCGGCCCCGTCGTGCGGAGCCCCGCTTGGCCTTGTTCGTTCTGTCGAGTGGGCCCCCCGCTCTGGTCGCTGAGCTGTCGCGGCTCGTGCCTGACGCTGGCACTTGTTCGGTCGACGTCGAGAGCGGCGAATCGAGTCTTCGTGGGCCAGGCGTCGCATATGCTATTCGTTCACGCATTCCTGCCTGCAGGGGCGCCGGGCTCTTCGTGGTGTGATCTCTTCGTAGCCCGTGGGCGCTCGAGCCCATGACCCCACGATTTGCAGAGGCAAATGCGAATGCCACTGGGCTGCTTGACCTGCTATTCGGGGCGTCTGACGCCTGCCGGGCATGGGTGATGGTGGCATCCCCCGCCAGATCTTATTTCCGGGCGCTGCCGCCGGCCGAAGAGTTATTGGAGGTGGGCTTCGACGACATAACTTTCGACTCTGGCCGCTGCTGGCAGGGCGCCAGCCAGAACATTCGGCTGCGCTATCGGCCGTTGGCGCCCGGTGGCCTTGGCAGCCTGGTTCGGGCGCCGCCCGGCTCGGAAGCACCGCCGTCGGGCTCCGGCCTGCGGCCCGAGCCCCATGACCAATTCTCTTGGCTCGACGGTGTGGCGGCGCAGTGGATGAGCGACGTGCGAGACGAGTTCACGCTCCGGCTCACTCAACCTGCCGCAGGTTGCGCCGACTCTGAGCGGCGCAGGGATCGTCCGCAATCCAGCGGCTGCGATACTTGTTCTCCAGTCGAACTACGGGCGCAAGAGGACGCGAAGTGTCTGGCCGGCATGCGGAATCCACATTTCGCGTGCGGCGTCTGGCCGCAGCTGCGGTACGGCATGCGGCTAGTGCTGGCGGCGCTGGTCAAGGCGCGGCACGCTGACGCTTCACTTGCTAACCTGGCGGCTGCCTGCGGCCACGCGCCAACCAGGGAGCCGCCGAGCGACTCAGCGATCAAGCGAGTCCGTGCCGAGGTGGCCACTGCGCTGTCGCTGTCACCGGAGGCGGCCATCGCAGGAGGCAGTGCTCCAGACAGGCGACCCGGACAAGCCGCTGGCCGAGTGGTTGGAGCACGGGGCGCCCATGGGCATCGCCCGCGCCATCGAGCCAGGGTCTTTGTTTCCAGTGCGGGAGTCTGCAGCAGAGTCCACGCTGGACGAGGACGCTCTGGCTTCTGCTTACCACGGCAATCACCCTTCATTCAGTGACGCGCGCGGCAAACCGGTGCCACCGACGCAAGATCTCATCCGTGGTTATCTGCAGAAGGGCTATGGTATCCAGTATTCTTCCGCCAGGCCGCCGAACGGATTCACGGTCGCACGTTCCCGGCGCCGCTCGGCAACGTGCGCAAGAAGCGCTAAGGTGGCGACGGCTGGAAGGACCGGATCATTCAGGATCTTAAGTCAGCCGGGATCAACGCCTTGAGTTCGACGCCAGAATGGTCTGTTCTATTGCGTGGCATCGATCGCGCGCGCAATTCGGCTGCCACTGCCAATGTGCCAGGTGATCATGTTGCTGTCCTCGTTCTTGACTTTTCGGATGCGTTTATGATGATGGCGTTGCACCTGGACGAACGGCGCTTCAACTGCGCCGAAGTCGACGGCTTAGACGGACCAGGATCGTCAGCTTTCATCGTTTGGAGAGTGCTGGGCTTCGGAGGGAAATCCAACCCCCTAGTATACAGCAGGCTGGGAAGCTTCGCGGCTCGCACTGCTCAGGCCGTGTCGCGACCAGAAGTTCGACTGCAGTTGTGCGTGGGCGATCCCGCGATGGTCACTCGAGGTGCCGCGTGGCAGTGCCAAGAGGATTTCGACATCATCCTGTTATGGTGGCTTGTCATTGGAATCAATCTGGCCTGGTCCAAAGGAGAGCACCATGTTGTTCCGCATGTACTTTCTGATGCTGGGCCTGTTCTGATGCGCGATCGGATCGGCATCTCGTTTGCTCTCCATGGAGGCCGGGCGATTATGGGAGTACCCGGGACTAGTTAGATTCGGTCGCCGCTGCTCTGGAGCCGTTTCTCAGGCGCCGCGGGTTCGCGACGCTGAAGCAGGCCCGCGCCCTATGCGGAAAGGCGGCGCGAATCGCTCAGGTGGTGCCCGCTGCTTCGCCCTTTGCAGGTGCGCTGTTGGCAGCTCTCGGCGGTGCCACGCGTGCCGCGGACCGCGGGCGCCCGGAAGCGCCGCCGGGCCAGGTAGCTGTGCAGCGTTTCTTCACAGCCGCCGGCTGGTTCAGAGCGTTGGTCGAGCCGGACAATCTGGGCCCTGCGGCCCCTACGAAACTATTCCCTCTACAACGAGTTGTTTACGCATCGCCAGACCTGGTTCGATTAGGTAGGTCGAAGTTCCACGTCGAGTTCGATGCGTCCCTTTGCGGCGGCGGCGCCGTTCTGATGGCCGGTTTCCGACCGATCGAGTACTTCGCCGTTTCTTGGGACGAGAACGTAGTGAGCATGTTCGAGGCTACGTTGGGGGGCTCTCGATGGCAGAGTTGCTGGGAGATTTTGACTTTGCTGATATCTGCCATCATCTGACGGGAGCATGCCGCTAACGACGTGTTGTTTTTGCTGGGAGACAACATCTCAGCACTGCAGGGCGCCGTTTCCCTCAAAGGGCGCGGGCACATGCTGACCATTGCCCGCGAGCTCGCGTGGCGGCGGGCCAAGTGGCCGTTGTATTTCGATTGTTCCCACCTCCCGAAGGAGAGGAATTTCGTCGCAGATGCTTTGAGTAGAGTGGCCGCCGTCCCGCCTAGCTCATTGCCAGCATCCTTGCGCAACGTACCACAGGTGGCCGTGCCACCGTGGAGCGCGATCTGGCTTGCGTGGATACCACAGGCGTAGGCGCGCCTGTGCCCCGCAGCCGCTGGCAGTGAAGGTGGTGACGGCTTCACCCACGATCAGGATTGGCCTATCATCGTGCGCGTGGAGACCAAACATCCATTCATCATCATCGCGCTCTTTATTGTCATCGTGTTCACCATCTTCGGGGGGACGGGAGGCAGGTAAGTCGGGAAGTGTCGCTGCTTGGCGTCACGGTTGGACCGGCCGGGTTAACGTCACCGCCTCCGGCTTCGTCGGCGTCGTTCGTCTCCCTCCTTGCCCTTCCTCCTCCTCCTCCTCCTCCTTCTCCTCCCCTCCTCCTTCCTCTCCCGAGGAGGGGTGAGGGGAGGTTTCCATGCCGCGGGATGCCCCCCGGAAGTGCCGGCGGGTAGCTCGTGGAAGACCGAGACGGCGAGGCTCCCCGTCCCTCCCGTCCAACCCCTGTCTACCATGCAACTCCCCTCCTTCGGCGGGCCGTGCAGCCAGGTCGCATGCCTCCCCTGGCCCACCGCCCCTCCTGGCCCAGCCATGTGGCCGGCACGGCCACGCGAAGACTTGGCTGATGCACTGCCCGGCCGCAAACGGCAGAAAGGGGTCGCTGGGCGGGCAGGTGGATGTCATGGCCGTCACGGTGAGGAGGCAACGCTGAGTCGCCTCTCATCAGAGTCCCTGGCCATGGGATGCGCTATGTGTGGGCTCCCGCATCCGCCGACGCTCCAGGATGCGGCCGCGACGGGCACCTCTAGTGACCCGGCTCGGCCAGCCATCCAGGGGCTTCTGCAGGACGCGCCTGGCCGGCTCGAGTACCGGACGGGACGCATGCCAGATTTGGATTCAGCATTGGATCGTCAAGCGGCGCTGGAAGAATTCGACCGTGACGTACATGCTCGAACCACAGCGGCTTCGGAGTGGTCCAAGCGAGAAGCTCTCATCCAATTTATGGCATTGTGGAACTTGGAGCCGATCCCCCTCACGAGATCCAGGATTCGAATATTGGGCGCTACTCTGAAAGCAGGTAGGTATCGGTCTGCTGCGCAGTGCCTGTCAACTCCACAAACATGGCACGAGGAAAGCGATTTCGTTATCACTCCAAGCATGCGTCTTGCAATTCGCGACGCACGCCGCTCGCGTGAGCGGGGCGTGGGGCCACCGAAGAAAATGGAGGGCCTTCCATTGGAAGCTCTTGGCAGGTTGCCCCGCGACTGGGGTCCGCTACAGGGCGGCTTATATCCGCCCTGGCGTGCGCTCGTCGCTGGCGAGTGGTGGATGACAAGGGAGATAGAACTGTCCTCAGCACCAGCCAGAATGGTCACATTCCGTGCAGTTGGCCCAGGGACTAGCGACCTAGCGGCTACGTGGCTTCTTCCAGCTTCGAGAACGGATATAGAGGCGTTGGGCATGGAGCGGACGCGCGGCTGCTGCTGCGACCGCGGCGTCTTCAGTGCGACTTGCCCAGCCCATTGCTTATGGGAGCAGCGGGCTTGGCTTCGGGCTCGATTTCCTGGGCGTCGCACTGAATCCTGAGTGCCCGAAGATTCTTTGCCATTGTTTCTTGATCGTTACGGGCACGCTTGCACCAAGGCAGGGCTGGTCGCTACGATTCAGGCCGCCGCCGCGTTGTTAGGCTTCCTTGCCAAGTCGGCAGATGGCTTCTGTCTGTGGGGCGGCCATTCTCTGCGAGTCGGCAGGGCTCAGAGTTTGGCCCGCGCGGGGCTTTGCACATGGGCCATCTAGCTCCTTGGAAGATGGGGAAGTGATGCAGTGTTGGGTTATCTTCGCGACGCCCCGCTGACTGCTTGTTCGTCGTGGGCGGCTGCTGCGTCTTCTGGAGCATCCGGCACCAGGGTGCCTTTCCCGCCTGCGGTGGATGCAGCTGCTAGGGGTTTGGACAAACTCTTCAACGACCTCCGGGCCCGCAGGCGCATGCAGGGCCGGGCCGCCGAGCTGTCGCGCACGGATTGCAGCGAGCTGCTAGATTCGGATTTCGAGCGAAGGGTTCGAGAGATCATGGCGCCAACTGTCGACGAACCTGTTGTTGCAGACCGCAATATCCGTGATCTCGCTGCCGACATCGAGGAGCTGCGGCGGGCCTCCACGGCCGAATTTGCAAGGGTTTCCGCGCCAGGCGTTGCGGCGTCCAGCGCGCCGCCCGTCGCGACCTCCGAGAATTCCACCATCCCGTCCGATTCAATCGATTGGTCTGGAGACGACGAGATCGTCCGGAACAACGGGAGTGGTCTGTTGCACGCCGTCCTCATCTGCGAGGGTACAGGAGGTGCCTTTCATGGCTGCTCATGGTGCCTTTGTAGGTTCGGCGAGAAGCGAGCGTCAAGGCTTGATGCTCCCCCGCCAGGCCTGTATAAAGACCTTTGTGAGAAATGCTTTCCGCTGCTTCGGGGTCTGCGCAAGCGTCGCTTGTGCGCGGAAGCTGGTTCGTTGGGGGCGGGTCAATTTGGCGCGGTTGAGTAGTCAGGACCCGCCTGTCCAGCGCCACCGTCCGCGCACGAGAAACACGTCAGCAGCAAACCAGCAGTGTATGTAGCATTGCACGGGGGAAGGGTGGGTAGCTAACACGCAGCATGAATGTTGGGATCGGCCGGAAGCCGAGTGTAACATACAGCTGCAGGAAGATGGGCGGACGGGTGGGTGCAGCTTTCTTCGCTCGTGGCCATTTGGCTTCATGACTTGAGCGATCACAGGTGTCAAATCCCCTGCCCAGCCCGCCCTATAGTCTTGTGGTGCTGGCGCGGTTGAGTAGTCAAGACCCGCCTGTCCAGCGCCACCATCCGCGCACAAAAACACGCCAGCAGCAAACCAGCAGTGTAGCATTGCACGGGGGGCGGGGAGGTAGCTAACACGCAGCATGAATGTTCTTCTTCTCCTCTCCTCTCCTCCTCCTCCTCCTCCTCCTCCTCCTCCTCCTTGGAAGCCCCGGCGGACAAACCAATTACTCTTCACTTGACTTGCCAACTGCTCCGTTCTACTTCCTGTTGGCTCTGCCAGCCGATGTTTCAGGGAACTGACCCTTGGGTGAAAAATCGAAGATGGCGGAAGTTACTTGTGTTGCTGGTGCGCCTGCTGCCAGTGGGACTGGTCCCTATGGTGCCGCTGGCAAAGATGGTGGTGGGGGACGTACCCCGAAGACTGCGAGAGTCTCGGGCGTCTCCAGCGAGGAGTTCCGCATCATCTTGACGGGCGTGCAGGGATCCTTGAGGACCCTCCCCAGCGAGATGAACCATGAGCAGCTTGCGATTGCGGCCGTCCTGGGCATGCAGGCACAACCCATTGACTTTGGATCACGCATTGGGGGGAAAGGCGGAGCAACTGGGTCGTCGAGATGGCCTGGCTGTGCTGGTAGTAGGTGTCTTCCCTTCTTCTTTAGCCTGCCTTCTGGCTTGTGCAGTAGCTGCCTTCCCTTCCTCGCAGCCCTCCTGCCTTGTGCAGTTGGTGCCTTTTCTCCCTTGCCGCCCTCCTGCCTTGAGCAGCGGGCGCCTTCCCTCCTTCCTCCCTGGCCTCCCTCCTGCCTTGGGCAGAGGGCGCCCTTCCTTCCGCCTCTTCCTCCTCACCCCCTCTCCTGGCTTTTGCGGCGGGGCCTCTTCCCTCCTCCTCTGGCCTCCCTCCTCCTCCTCCGTCTTCGTCCTCCTCCTCGTTCTCCTCCCGCCTCCTTCTCCTCCTCCTCCTCCTCTTCCTCCTCCTCCTCCTCCTCCTCTCCTCCTCCTCCTCCTCCTCCTCCTCTTCCTCCTCCTCTCGCTCTCTCTCTATCCCTCCTATGTTCCTCCTCCTAGCGGCCGCGACCGCGCTGCGCCTCTGCCGCGGTTGCCCGCGTCTCGGCGCGCTGCCTGTCGGCCGTCGGCCTCGTCGTCGTCGTCGCCTCCCCCCTCTTCCTTCTCGTCCTCGGCGCCGGGCACCGTGTACCTGTCCTTCAGCTCCAGGTCCTGGACGTGGATCGCTTTTCCTACCCATGGGCTTGGGCGCTGTTTCTGGTGGCTGTTTCCCGATCTGTGCGAAGTTGACAAAGCGCAATTCACCCATCAGGCGGTCCAGCATGTTGGGATGAAACGGGTTCTTCATTCGCTTGTCCGTCTCGGTCGGATTTTCGTTTCGACTTGCGCCTCCTCCCTGGAGTGGATGGGAGCGCTCATCACTTAGTCGCGTTATCCGATCATGCTCCCGTTTTTCTTTCCTGGCTGGCTCGGGGCCTTCAATCTCGGATGCCGATTCTCATATCTTGGATTTCAAAGTCAGCTGAGTTCGGGGAGGTGTCCTGACGATCTTGCAAGCCCCTGCGTACCGCTCTCAATATCCTGGAATTGCCTTATTTGAAGTCACTGAAACGGTGCATTGCGCCGCAAGGGTAGTCAAGACAATGAGGGGGCGACATGAGGGCTCAGACGGCAGAAGAACGGGCTCCCATGGCCTTGGCTGCCTTACGTGCTTCTCGGGCCTTGGACCTTGCGGTGCTGTGTCGTGCGAGCCATGCTTTCTCTGCCCTCGGCAGGTTCTTCAGTCTTCACACGTGTCAGCTTACCGACCCAGTGGGATTTCATGCATGTCTTTCCTATCAGAAAATTGTGTGCCTTGACAAGGCAATTGCCGATGCCAATGTTGATGATGCGATGTCGGTCAAGCAAAGAGCACAG